CCATTTCCAGCATAGGACAAATCAGAGAAAGCCAACTGTGTACCCCTAACCAACGACATAGGTTGCACCACTTCTAAATGCCTGCACCTTCCCCAGGCTGACAGCCGCCAGCCAGGGCACACCTGAAACCTTCCCTTTTTTCCACCATAAAGCTTTCCTGCTCCGCTGCCTGCCTTTGAGCCTCTATAAAATGCAGCGTGCAGACTAACAGTGTCTGACTCCCTTGTTAGAGCAAACTCTGTAAAGAGACTTAGCCTGTTCTTGTTTGGTTGGTCTTTGTTTATTTCCACAGTGGCTAGTTAAGTTAATTAAAATTATATTAAATGACAAGTTCAGTTCCTCAGTTGCACTAGCTAAATTTAAAGTGCTCAGCAGCCCCATGTAACTTGTAACTATTGTACTGGACGGTGTAAGCATGGAATATTTCCATCATCTCCAGAAGTTTCACAGGACACTCTATACATGACTATGGTTTTCCAACCTCATGCTACTTCTTGAATTGCCTTCCTTCTACATTTTTACCTGCCAAACTCCTTCCCAGTCTTCATGACCTAGCTTACTGTTTCCCTCAGGAAGCCTTCATTGATGCCTCTATTTAGACATCATCTCTCATTTCTTAGATTATACCTTTCCGTTGGCACTTTTCAGTCTTTCTTCTCGATCAGTGATCTCTTCTACATGCTATCCTGCTGTATTGTAATTACTTTATCCTTGCAGGATCTCATGCTTCCTGTGTAGTAACTCCATGATAACTGGTTTTTTTTTTTTTTTTTTTTTTGCTTAAATTGGTTTGTGGAAAATAAGGGTCAGATTGAATTACTTACTTTAAGAAGCCATGGAATGACAGATAGAACTGAAGTTTATAATTTATTTGGGACATAGTCTGTACAAACAGCAGTGCACATGGCTTTGTTCTTCCCTTTCTGACTCTGCTTCCGTTATCCTCTAGACAGCTTCATTTAACATTAGGAGGATGTTTATAAAGTTAGCTGGGGACCATCTCAGAGTCTCCCACTGTTACTTCTCAAAAGTTGTCTGAGCCTTCAAAAGTCTTTTCATAGAACAGCAACTAGGAAGGAAGCTACAGGTCTATGATTCCCAAAATACCCTTAGAATGACTACCTTTCAATGTCTTTAACACACCAGACATATTCATGCCTCTGTGCCTTGCTCATATTTTCCCCTTACCTGAAATATGACCTCAGAATTTCCATCCTTATACCACCTCTGTGCCTGGTGAACTTCTTTCATATGTGAAGTTAAATATCACATTGTGAAGCCTTTCTCACTCTCATTAAATGGAGTCACTCCTTTTTCTGTCCGTTTATTAATATCTGCTTGCTTATCTCTTTATTCTCAGTGTGGTGGATAAATGTAAACCTTTACTCTTAAAGTAATACTATTAGGGCAAGTACACATGGCCAGTGGAAGGAAGTTAGTCCACTTATGTTTCTTTTCAGGATGGGGGCGTTGCTGCTGTATTTAGATAAAATTCACCACAATCCCCAGAGAAAGCTCTACCGTTTCTCTCCTTTCATCATCAACCTAAATCCAAGGATCGTGAGTTCCTCATTTCCTAAGTGGGGCTAGGGAACCCTCTTTTCAGTTTATGTGCCAGCAAAAATTGTGTCTGGGAGAAAGCTTTGCTATGTACTGGGTGCCTACAATTGTGAAATTTCCAAGAAGCAGAAACTGACTAGAGTCAGTTTCTAACAAATTGACTAAAGTTTCTAATGAACTGACTAGAGTCAGTTATTATAACAAATAATTATTTGTTAGAGGATTTGGGATATCCTGAGATAAAGAGATAAAGGACAGAAATTGTATGGACCTAACAGAAGCAGAAGATATTATGAAGAGGTAGCAAGAATACACAGAGAACTGTACAAAAAAGATCTTCACAACCCAGATAATCACAATGGTGCGATCACTCACCTAGAGCCAGACATCCTGGAATGTGAAGTCAAGTG